GTCAATAGTTATCTCTCCCTACATCTGTATGTGTTAGAACAATACCTAAAACAGTAACACCTCTTTCTTACTCACCCATTTTGCCAAGGAATACTGCATAATTGTTGTAGGCATCTCCGTTTCTAGGTTCTAATGTAAGCGCTCTTTTGTAAAACTCTTCAGCTTCAACGTACTTCTGTTGTTCGCTGAGCACACCAGCAGTATTCATCACGGCATCCAGATAATTTGGATTTAACCTGACAAAATAACCCGTGACCTAGTCATGATCAATAGATGCCTTGCCTTACTTTAAAGGCATGATAGGCACGATTCCTTGGGTTGCAAAGTTTTGAATTCAAACTGTGGATGACCTTTGATTACGTTGGTAGTTTCTGATCACCTAATTCTCTAGCTTGCAATGCAGGGGTATTTTAACGAGTGAGCCCACTTAAATTGGGCGAGCGCCATCTTGGATTCCCAACACAAGAGGGATGGGGAGAGGAAAAAAATGTACCCTAGGTAGGAGAAGTGCCGCTGAAAACTCGTTCTCTCACCCCACCCTCTACGTTTTAAGAATCCAAGACGGCCACTTGACACGCGACTAAATCTGTCCAACGCTCACCGAAAAAACGCATGGACTGCCTTATACTAAATTTCAGCCCCTCCTTTTCATCCATTTTCTTTGAAACTGGGCAAGATGATAACGGCAGAGGTGTAAAGTGCTGCCGCTAGTAGGAATTCTTTATTTCACCTGATTGCTTCTTTCAACATTGCTTCAGCCTCTGATAAGCGTTTTAAGGACCTAGACATCANAAACGCATGGACTGCCTTATACTTAATTTCAGCTCCTCCATTTCATCCAGTTTCTTTGAAACTGGGCAAGATGATAACGGCAAAGGTGTAAAGTGCTGCCGCTAGTAGGTATTCTTTATTTTACCTGATTGCTTCTTTCAACATTGCTTCAGCCTCTGACAAGCGTTTTAAGGACCTAGACATCAATGAAAAACAGTCAAAAGTGTGTCTACACACGTGGAATAAATATTGATCTTACCATGTTTAAACACTTTACCCATTCGATATGCACACTGTAGCATCATTGTCTGACAAGAATCACAAACAACTACATGTACTAGTGATTACTATGGTTTTGGTTTAGCGGCATTCAATTTAAAACTTCTCTATCGCCAAAACATGATGACGCTCTAGGGAGCCGAATTCACTCCGGACCCTTCGACACTTCGCCGGAGAAATTTAAAAACGCAGCTTTGTTTCTACGGTTAGGCTACCGTCCACACTAATCCGTCACGGAAACGGAGCTTTTCGAAAAACGCTCTTCAAACCGGAGGAATTTGAAAACACCGGCTTTGCGTTTTAGTGTGGACGGAAACCATTTTGAAAACGGAGCTTTTCGAAAACGGTGACACCACGATAATAATGTGATTTCCTTTCCCTAGTTTTCCTCAAACACAAATCCAAAATGGTCGGTCAGGTTATTGTTGCGTTTTCAAATTCCTCTGGCATAGTCATTACGCTGACAGAGAACATTTGATGCGTTTTCAGAGTGAAACCTCCGTTTTCAAATTTCCCTGGCGTAGTGTGGGTGGGGCCTCAGTCGCTCTTAAGAGTGAATGGTTACTTACGCCAAGCGTGTTCCAAGATTGAAATACGAGTTTGCGTGATAAGGGTCATACTTTATGGCTTGATAGAAGTGCTTCATAGCTTCCTGCAAGCATAAAAAATAACACAGATATATATATCAAATACGATTTAACTGTTTTTGCTTTGTCTGATGTCTTACATGTCGAAAATTACTTTAACAACAAATTTGTGTGCTGTCTGGGGACAAGGGCGTACCTCATTGTTTTCCAAAAGAGTACCAAGGTTGTTATGAGCACTGACGTGATTTGGAGCCAACCTGAAA